TGGGGAGGGGCCCCGGGGGGCGGGGCGGAGTGAGTAGGGGGGCCGGGAGGGGTCCCCGGGAGAGGGGAGGGGGCAGTGCGGGGGGGGCCTGAGAAGGGGGGGCGGGGCGGGGTCTCTGTACCTGCGGCGCTGCCCGGCCTCTGCCGTGCGGGCGCTGAGGGCCGGGCCCGCCCCGCCGGCCGGCGCCGTAGGGCCCCCGTTCGGGCTCCGGGACCCGCCAGCGCCGCCTCCCTCCCCCCACCCCAGCTCGGGCCGGGGCCGGGCCCGGACTCGGAGCCGCCGGGAGCAGCGAGTCCGGCAGCCGTAGCCTAGAGCGTCTCTCGCTGGGAGGACCCGAGAGGGAGGCGATGCGGCCGCTAGGTGGCGCTGGGGACACGCGGCTCCGGTCCTCTGGCGGGGGGCGGGGCTCCGAAGGGAGGCGGGGAGGGGGCGGGACCTTGGAGTGAGGAGGGGGAGGAGCTTAGCTGCGGGGTGGGGCCGTAGGGCTTCGGCGTGTGGGAGCTCTGGGACTGGGCAGAGTGAGGGGACTTGGGGTTTGGGGCAAGGGAGGGGCTCTGGGACAGGGGAGAGGGATCTGGCCCTGGGGGGCAGAGAAGGTGGGGGAGCTGGGGGCCATGGAGCTGGGGTATTTGGGGGGAAAAGGAGGGGAGCTGATCTTGAGTTAAAAATGTTTGCACCTAAAGAGAGAAAGCAGCTGGAGGAAGGGGCAGTGCAGTGTACAAACCCCACCCCACCCCACACTACACCCAGCTCATGCCACAACAATGTACATACAGCTCACACGCAGGCTCCTCCAACACAGACAAAACCCCATGTGCACTCCCACGCCATATACACAAAACAGCCAGTACTCCGTGCACACTAACCCCACACCACCCACGCCCGTGCAGACAGATCATCCCTTTCTTCTAGCAAACTATATTACCAGTCAAAAACCTCCCTTTATCCCCATGGATTTAGATGCAGTTAAAAGGTGTGTCCCTGTTTTTCCTCGCACATATATCCTGTTTATAGCTTTCAAATACCTACACACTCCAGTAGCTGCCTGTAATGTTGCAATATTAACATAAAAGAATAATTCATATTAATAATAGCTCATCCCCACATACCATGGTAAATGCCTACGGATTAGATAATATTAATTATATTTTTACAATATTCTTCACTTCCTGTACTAAACTGCTGTGTAGTATTGTTGTCTGCTATTAATCAGTTATCAGAAGTGGCTGTATTTTCCATGGATATATAGTGATGGCTGAATTGTGTGGTTTGTAAAATACTGGGGGCTCCTGTGTGATGAAAGATGCTGTAGAAATGCAAGGTGATGCCATGTATTAAATCCTAATTTGTTAGGCGTGTTCCCTGTAGTGGCAAAGTGCCCACACCTGGTCCATTACTCTGGCCCAATATTCAAAAAAGTGCTTTTTCCATTTTTTTGGTGGAAAGATTGCACATGGACAGAGAGACACACACAACAGATTTCCCAGGGCACTATGTCTTCTCCCCAGCCATTTATCTGCCATGTACAATATTCCCTGATTCAACTAAAGTAGCAAACGTACACACGCCAGCCAACTGTTGCCCTGTACCTGCTCACAATATCCCCATAACCTCTCAGAATAGAATTCCTGTTGCATGCAGTCTGAATGCATGAGATACAAATAATAATCATAATTAATAATGCTAGTGACAAGTAATTAAAGGTGGGCTTAACATGTTTTCCCTGACTTATGGACAGGGATCGTTCATGATTGAACTATCATTGAACATGATTGACATGGGGTTTGGAGGGAGGGATAGCTCAGTGGTTTGAGCATTGACCTGCTAAACCTAGGGTTGTGAGCTCAATCCTTGAGGGGGCCATTTAGGGATATGGGGCAAAAATCTGTGGGATGATTTAATTGGAGATTGGTCCTGCTTTGAGCAGGGGGTTGGACTAGATGATCTCCTGAGGTCCCTTCCAACCCTGATATTCTGTGATTGTTCTAGCCAACCCATTCTATAACTTCAGAGTTAAATGCTCTTCTGAAGTCAACAGGTGTAACAGAGAAGAATTTAATCCCGACCTCTGAGAGATCATGTGTGTTTATGTTTTAAACAGATTTGAACATGACTCAGACAAAATATCCTTGTCCACACCAGTCAGGGGAACTAATGTGAGACTTCTGCTGGCAACAGCAGTGATGGAAATTGCCTGTAGTTGGCATGCTTCTGATCCCCCAGTGACATTCACCCCCGCAGAGGGGGCCGTCTGAAGGCATATGTGCTACATGAGTCTTCAGAGTAGGGCATAATAAATCTGCAAAGCAGCTAATATGGTTCAAGACATACTACAGGGATGGTAGGGGGCTGCCTTGTGAGAGGGACAGTAGGGAGGCATTACTTACTAGGTCTGTACATCTGACAAATTACTTACATCTGTTATTCTTAAAGGTGCCACAGGACTCTCTGTTGCCTGTTAGCTATTTCTGTTTTGTCTATTAGCCTGTAACAATGCTATAGGCAGGAACTGCCTTTTGTGTTTTGTACAGCATTTGCCAACGGGGGCCCGGTTGCACTTGGAGCCTCCAGGCTCTTCTGGAGTACAAATAATAACAAACAGCACAGCGCTGTGAAAGGGTTGTGACTAAATGATTATATCTTCAGGGTTGTAGCACAGTTCCCTTAACGTGCTTAGAACACAGACTGGTTCTGTCTAGCGAGGCAGAATTTTTCGCGCTATGGTTGTGTTGTAATGTCTAGTCTTGTAGATGGGAGCTTAGGTGTGATTGAAATGCTTCCTTTTCTGTGTGAATAGACACAAATGACAGTGAGTGAATGAACAAGGAGAATGTAGAGGAGGCAGCAATTGTACAAATTGTGCGGAAAATACACAGAGAAAGTCAAGAAAGGCCCAGCAGCTCAACTGGACAAAGTCCATAACAGCAAGCAGTCGAGATAAAGCTGACACCAAACCCAAACACAGGAGATTAACTTTCACTGAGTACAAGTTGGTAGAATAGTTCCCTTTAGGACTCTGGTCTAGTTGAATGTGCCGGGGGATTGGAGCTCCTTTTAGAAAGCCATCCTGGGTGAATTGAGAGGGGTAGTATTCTTTGATACACACCTAGAGACTGGCATAGGTCTTTTTTTGTTGTTGTTTTTGACAGGTGGACAGCAAAGGAAATAAAATGCTATAGAACAGGAGTGAACAGATGTGATGACACATATAGGGTAGACTGGGGAGATCTCTTGCCGCCTCTGCTACTGACTGGCTGCGTGACGCTGGGCAAGTCACTTCACAGTCAGCAGCATCATTTGAGTTATTTGTGTTGCAGTAGTTCTTAGAGCCCCCAGCCCTTCTGCTAGGTGCAGTACAAACCAATAACACAAAGCCAATCTATGCCCCCAAAGACCTTCCAATGTAAGTATGAGACAACAGGTAATACAGCAAACAGAGGGGAACCCAAGGTATCAGTGAGACAATTATGATAAATGTGATTAACAGCAGTGAGGGCTCTCCAGCTGCCTAACCATTGTTCATGTCACTATTTTAGGCATCATGGCAGAACTGATTTTTTTAAGGAAGGAGTCTCTGCTCCGTGCCTCAGTTTCCCCATCCCTAAAAAAGGGGATAATTATCTTGACCTTCTTTCCTGAAACCTCAACAGAGTTTGCGATCTGTGTAGCATAATAATCATCACAGAGAGGAAAAGCAACACACCAGTGAAGCGGGGGGAACTAGGCAACAGATGGAGGGAAGGAGAGAGGCAGAGGATAGAGAGATGTGAGCAGCAGAGCAGCGCCCAGTTCTTTCCCCTGCAGAGTTAACAACAGTTTCCTCTCGCCTCCTGTACTCGTTTCCCTCCCTGCTCGCTGCCATTGGCTGCCTCTGTAGGTTTAAGCTAAAAAGCCTCCTAATTAGGCCCCCCCCCCCCCCCCCGCTCCCACACTGCCAGGCTCCTGGGCGGGGAGAGAAAAAAAAAAAAAAAACATCTCCCTGGTGTAGCCTGGGTGTTTTCCTTTCGCTTTGCTGCGCAACCTTTCCAGCCATTCTCCCTCTGCCTGCGGCCCTTTGAAGCAGGTGGAGAACTGGGTGACCAGCCATCCCAGTGTTATGGGGCTTTGTCTTGTATAAGCAACTATCCTCCCCCGCCCTGGGGAAAAAAAAGTGTCCGGATTTTTCACCCTTGTTTTCCGGTCACCCTAGCTGGGGAGCGACGGGAAAGGGACAGGAATACAAACCTCTTGGCGTCTGGGCGACGCAGATCTGCGCTCCGGCGCTGGAAGGAGGGGACCCCAGGAAGCGGCAGGTATGTGATCTGTTGCGGACGGTGCTGCTGTGATTCCCGGCAGGCAGGTCCTTTAGGGGTGGCATGCTTAGTGGTGCTGGGACAATTTGTACAGTGGGGGGCTGAGAGCCACTGAACCAAACAGAACTTTTTCACTTCCAGCTCACCCGTCTGCCTGTTTCTGAGTGGGACAGGAAACACCACTGCGACTGGCACTGATTATACCCCCTTGCCAGCAGGCAGGCCGAGCACAGAAGGGGCAGGGGTGGACAAAACACCGCCTTCTCTGCTCCCCAAGAGGTGGTGAAACAACAGGGGCCAGATATTCAACAGAGCTCAGTGACCACAATGGGGGCCAGGTCTATGTATTTGCAAAGAGCTCAGCTCTGATGTACCTTGCATGGTGTCAAGTATCAGGGGGAGGCTCTGATGTAGGCACTACTCGATTTTCAAAAGAGCCCAGACCGGTGGGCAAATCTGGCTGTAATTGTCACAGCCGGGAGAGGGCGTCACTGGGCGCTGAGTGCTTAAAATAGCTCCCCCTTCATCTAGGTGCCCAGGCGGGAAGGAAAATCTAGCCCTGGGTGTGAGAGGAATAGCACTGGGTGGGAAAAGACCGTTCCGTCTTGCAGGGATTTTGGTATTTTGAACATTTGCTTTCATTCGGAATGAAAACTAAAAATTTTGAAATATTCCACCCAAGGGAAGTGAGCCCTGGCTCAAGTCTACCTGGTGGGCTGTCTTGGAGCCTGGGGGTCCTTCTTCCAATCCCGACCACCTCGTGGAATGCAGATCTTGAAAGATCCTGAGCCCAAGGCAGTCCACCCCGTGGGCTGCCCCATAGTCACAGCCTAGGTTCCCCGAGGCAGGTTGCCGAGAAGCCAGGTGAGAAAGCAGGGATGTGTCGAAACTTAGTCGAAATCGTTCCACGTCCATGGAACATTTTGATGAAACAGCAAATGCTGATTTAAAAAAAAAAAAAGTTTCATTTGAATTTTTCTGACCAGCATCAGCTGACACCTGTTTGCACGTTGCTATGGATTCGGGGCTGCCAACCTGGATTCTTTCAGCAGCACTCAACTCAGCTTAGAAAAGAAAAGAAAAGAAAAAAGAGGGATGTATCTGCAGATTGCTCAGCACAGCTACTACCAAACCTCTTGTTATAATGAATCACAGGTATCTCCCCTAGAGCGTTTAGTATAGTAGGCAGGTTACAGTATATGGTGAAAATTGAGTATAAATCTGTATATTCAAAAGTGGCCTGAGATTTTGGGTGCCCAGCTTGAGACACCAATGGCCTGATTCCCAGCGTGCCGAGTAACTGCGGCTCCTGCTGACGTTCGGGGTGCTTAGCACTTCAGCAAATCAGACCCCAGCTGCCTCATGTTGGGCAGCCCAAAATTAGTGGACATGTTTGAAAATGCGGGCTGTAGTGAGAATGCAGTATATGTAAGCCCCGTCGTTTTCAGTTTACCGAAAAATTCCCGGGTTTTACAAAAAGTATTATTCATCTTTTTTGGATTTTCACTCTACTTTTGTATCATTCAAATATATAAAAAATAACTTGTTTTATTAGGAAAATACCATACAGGGCATGAAATATATGTGTTATGATAGTACATTAGTATTAGTCTGTGTGTATATGCAAAGTTGCCTGTTGAAATAAGGTTATGTATTAGTCTAGAACAGGAGTGGGCAAACTATGGCCCACGGGCCGAATCCAGCCCGTCAGGGCTTTGGATCTGACCCGCAAGATTGCCACCCTCGTGGCACTGCGGGCCCCACGCCGCTGCTGGAAGCAGCTGGCACCACGTCCCTGCGGCCCCTGAGGGAAGCGGGGGGCAGAGGGCTCCGTGCGCTGCCCATGCCTCCAGGCACCACCCCTGCCGCTCCCATTGGCCAGGAACAGGGAACTGTGGCAGGGACCCTGCCTTAGCCCTGCTGTGCGCCACTGCCACTCCGGAGCCACTCCAGGTAAGCCGAACCCCTACTGCACCCCACACCCCAATCTCCTGATGCACCCCAACCCCCTGTCCTGAGCCCCCTTCTACACTCCACACTCCTCCTGCGCCCCGACCCCCTGCCCTGAGCCCCTTCCTGCACACTGCACCCCCTCCCACACCCCACACTCCCTCCCACACCTCAACCCCCTGCCCCAGCCCAACATTCATGGCCCTGCATGCAATTTCCCCACCCAGATGTGGCCCTCAGGCCAAAAAGTTTGCCCACTCATGGTCTAGAAGATACACACAATAAACAAACAGGCATGCACGCAAGCTCTGAAGTGCGTGTGCATCTGAACATACTGATGAATCTCATGCCCACCACGTACACAGTTCAAGCTGTTAGCAGATAACGGTTTAAAGATCTGACACACACTAAAATGGGAAGAAAATGAAAATCTATATCAGAATACATTTCAGAACACAAGGAAGTATTCGAAAGGTTTTAAAAAACAGGAGAAAAGGATGAAGTTGAGTGTACAGTATGCGCTGCAAATGGTGTGGCCCAATTATTAAATGTAAATATTTATAGGTTATTAGTTCTAAGTCTACAACAGTAAACTGTTTATTCAAATGCAAAGTTTTATTTGGGGATTAGAGAGCTATTGTTTTCTTAAACTCAGAGGTGGCATTGTGTTTTGAGTTCTGTTTTAGTTCTGCAGCAAACCACATTGATGAATGGAATTCAAAACATGAATCTACTGGATACTTTTCCCCCTGTCTTTCCATACACCAAAATAAACCCAAATATTTACCCAGAAAAAAATTAATATTTTTGCACTGATTTTCACCTGTTTTTGTTCTTGTGATAACAAACACTGATAAATGCCCAGGAAAAATTAAATAACATAAAAACTGAAATTGAAGGGCCCTAAGATTATGGTGTGCACAGAAAGAGAGTGATGAAAGACGAAGGTAAATCCTTATCACTTTAGTCTTAAACTGCATTTGGAACCAAGGAAGGAGTAGGTTACATTGAGCGTGACTTGAAAGTTAACGTTATGGTCTTGGCATAAGAGAGATGGAAGGTAGCATTCGTGGCCCATGGGGAGCTAATGTAGGAAAGCAAGATACAATTTCACATTCATTTACTGCTTTTCATGTGAGGATCTCAAAGCACTTCACAAAGGTTCATGTAACTATTGTTATGCCCATTTTACAGCTAGGAAAACAGACTCCAAAGGGGGAAGTTCCCAGGGTCACACAGCAGGTCAGAGCCAGGAACAGACCTTAGGAGGCCGGCCTCACCATTTTGGGTTCCAAGCACTAAGGGCAAATTCAGGCCTGGTGTAAGCAGGAGAAACTCAATGGTGGAGCTGCAGCTACTCACAGCAGCTCTGAATTGGGGACCTCACTGTTGAAAAGCCCCAGTGAGGAGTGTGTGTGGAGACAACAAGGTACTCTCCCAAGGGATCCCATGAGACGCCCAGCACCTCAAGTTCATGGCTAATCTAGTCTGCAAAGGAATAAGCCTGCCAGCAAAGAGAACGACCTTGCACCAGAGGGGCGAGCCGGACAAGGTCATTAAATCCTCTTTCGCATGGATGAGCAAGCACCAAGGCCAGTGATTAATGGGGCTGCCTTCAGAGCGGGGTAGGGGACAGGACAGGAGAGAGCCAAGGACCTGGGGAAGGAAGGACTGAGCCAACAAACTAAGGAGGGGGAAGGAGCTGAAGAGAAACAAAGGAGATGAACCTGTGGGAGCTGCCCGGCTCCGCCTAGGGAGGTGCTAGCTATTGTCATTCCCTGCTAATTGTGGGGAATTGTCCGCAACTCAGCTGGCAGCTGGCCAGATTGATTAGTCACATAAAACCCAAACACAGGGTAGGACTCCAGGGGCTGGATTAATCTCCATCCTAACCCTCCCTGACCGCCTTACTCCAGCCAGGGATACCACCCTGTTATTCCTCTCTAAGCACCATTTACCGCTCTGATGGAAGGTCCCATCCTGCCAGCCCTGAAGTCCGAGGTCTGTACAGCCCAGGCAGCGCCAATGCCAGCTCCTCTTATGTTACCTTCACCCCTGATCTGGATCATGGTGGCCAGGGTGCAGAGCCTGGGGAGTTTGCTATTTGGAAGGCCCTGGTTGGAAATCAAGGGGAAAAGCTGTTCCTGAAACTCTACGGAATTGTTATTTGTGTTTCAGTAGCACTTAGAGGACCCAATCAAGTTCAAGCCCCATTGTGCTAAACACTGTAAAGAAACATAGTAAGGCACAGACCCTGTGCAAAGCTTATAGACAAGACAGACAAAACGTGTGAAAAAGGAAGCATTATCACCATTTTACAGATAGGAAAACAGAAGCACAGAGGATGGCCCTGATCCTCTAGGCCAGTGAGACTCAAGACCTCGGTGGTTCAGGAGCCAAATTAGTGATCAACATTACCCAAAAGAGCCACAGTCGTGTGAATTCATGGTTTCATTTACTAGCTATACACATGCATATATATTAGTCTCACAGCAAAATGACTGATCAAGTATTCTACAATTGGTTAATAACCTAGTAAAAGCATCCTGTTTAGTTAATAATTAAAATCACATGTTTTAATATCACATGCTGCAGAGATCCACAGGAGCCACATTAAAGAGCCACTTGCAGCTCCCGAGCCTCAGTCTGAGTATCTCTGCTCTAGGTATTTAGGTGCCCTTAACATTTTCAAAACTGCTGCTCAGCTATCGCCTAACCCCGTAGGTGCCCAAATCCCCTAAACCCCTGCTGGACAGCATTCACAAAGCCCTGACGCTGCCCTGCAGCAAACCAGCCATTTGGACCCCTGGAAGTCCTGAAGCAGGATTCTCAAACCAGGCATGTATCAGAGGGGTAGCCGTGTTAGTCAAACATGGCAACTTCAAACCAGGCAAGGGAATTCCTATCTTGCTGGGGAGCCTGATCCTCTAGGTGTGCACTGAACACACCTACGACGTGCTACCTGTCAGACCCCACAGTGGAAGGACTGGATGCAGGCCACTGGTAGGACAGCACATGCAAAAGAGAGTTGGTGGCAGAGGAAAAGAAGGACAAATAGGAGAGGTACTGAGTGTGAGCCGAGTGGAAGGAGGCACCAATCTCTGGCCCAACAGCTCAGGACACCAAGTTAGCCATTTAGGCTCCCAAATCCCGCACCTCTCCCCAGCATTTCACTTCTGGCTACCATAGGCAGCTCCTCACTCAGCTTGTGGGCTTCTGAGGATCCCTTGCTTAGGTGCCTAATTCTGCCCTAGGGCTGCCACCGCCAAGATACAAAAAAAACCCTCCAAAAACCCCAAAAAGCAGCCACTGGCCACCCTACCACCACCAAAAAAGGCCCTAGTGCCGCTGGTGAGCTTGGGGTCCATCCTGCTTCCCAGAGCCTTCAAGGGAGTCCCCCTACCCTATTCTCCCCATACGTTGTATGGGGAGCTTGGGCACCGAGGGCTGAGACCGCTAGACAGCATGGCACCTAGGGGCCAGGCTAGGTGTTGCAATGCTGAGCAGAAAATCTGGGCCAAAGTGGTTTGCCCAAGGCCACGGCAGTCAGTGGCAGAGCCAGGAATAGAGTCCAGATCTCCTCAATCCCAGCCCAGGGAAAGGCTTCTGTCCTCTGAGGCGCATGCACCGGAGACGGAGCTCTGAAGTGCAAAGCTCTCCCTTGCTGGCATTGCAACACCAGCGCCGTCACATAGCGAGGCCAGGCCAGCCAGTCGGGGGTGCCATTTGGTCGACAAAATGCAGAGATTGGTCAGGCAAGTTTGTATCTTTTCCCTCTTTTTTCCCCCGGCGGTAATTGTGGTCTCTCTGGCGGAACCACAGATCTCCCGTCCCTCCTCCAAGTTTGCAGTGAATTCTAGAGCCTGCCACTTGCTGCTCCCTTCCTGGGCTGGGTGCTGGGAACAAGGCAATCAGTCCTTTTTGGTTTTTCCTCCTGTTCATCGGCCAATCTGCTAAGTTAATTATTGACCCAGGCACCCAACAGAGAAACCTGAGCTCCCTGTGCTAATGACCTCGGCGGAGCGGTCTCAGGCCTGGAGAGGCGTGTGGATGAGACTCAGAAAAAGAGCCGTTAACTCATTAAAACCAAGAATTCCAAAAAGCTGCACCGATGGCTGGATTGAAAAGCCCCAGTGCACCCCTTGAGATCTCCGTACAATGCTCGCTCTGCTCTGAAGTTACTTTCCTGACCCTAGGCACAGATGGAGCGCTCAGAATTCCAGGCTCTTCTGAATGGAGTCACAACAGAGGGGTGGGGGGATCTATTTCACATGCCTTCTGTAAGACTGATCCTACCCTGCGGATGATATTTCTGTGCCTTAGAAAGGTGCAGGTTATCCTGGGATGTGGGAGACAGGGTAGGAGAGCATGTTGCAGACACACACATTGGAGTGTGATGTATGTTGGAGTAGCATCTGTATTGTGGAAGGGAGTGTGTTCCACCTGGGGCGGTGGGATAGTGTAG